TGGGTCCAGGTGGGGGAGAAGAGGAGAGTGCGGTAGATGCTGTGAAAGTCTACTGTCGCTATAAAAGCTAATTCGCGCGCAAGTCACCGTCCCTGCTGCACTTTGCTGTGTGGCACACGTGGACATCGTCGGAACCGACGACTGAAATGTCGTGGGTGTGTGTGTGTGAGAGAGAGAGAGGCAGTGGCATACACCGGACGCGCTCGGCTCAACCTCCTGCTCTGACATCTCACACAGCCACCAAATGGACCTATTAAGCCACATGCGTATTCATGAAAACCTGCGGTAGACCATTGTCGGCTATACCACATTATCGAACCTCTGCCCACCTGCACCTGCAAAACACGTCAAAATCATCTAGCACCACACCACACCAGCACGCAAATGACACATCTCACGTAAGTGGGAAGTGTGTTCCTCGGCTCCGTCTCCATGTGGTGCCGTTGGTGCATGTGTAGTCTGCGCCTGAGGCCGTCAAGGTGTGCCAAGCGCCGTGGCTTAGAGGGTTGCCGACTGATGCCTCGACTCAGTCCACGCGGTCTGCCCAGTCGTATGTGCTTGTGTTTGCCCCAAAAACGGGTAGTAGATGTACTGGACCAACAGGGGGGTCCTATTTGGTTCAGATAGGCGTTGTCGGAATGCACATCATAACAAATGCTAGTATTCGGGTGTGGTGGCAGGCCCAGTTGTCCGCTGACGTCGCGCCAATGGGGATCCCTGCCACCCCCCTCCGCAATGTTGTTATGGAACCCTGTTGTGGACCAGGGGTTGTGGTGACACGCCTAGGTGCGGGTTCATCCGTGCCAGCCCCTGCGCCATCGCCAGCCTCCGGACCCAGGTGGGGGCAGGAGAGAGTGCGGTAGATGCTGTTCAAGTCTCCTTTCGCTATAAACTAATTCACATGCAAGTCACCGTGCCTGCTTCACTTTGCTGCGGACCACACGGTGAACGCCGTCGGTTGCGACGGTTGAACTGTCGTGTGTGTGTGTGTGTACAGTAAGCCTACCTTACCTCAAAGAGGGAAATGGCTGAGGTCGATGCGTCGAATTCCGGATCCAGAGACGGGGCACTGTCACAAATACGTCCAGCGACTTTTTGTAGAAAACACCTTGGGTCGGAGTTCTATTTGGTCTTAAGCAAAAGTCCAACTGCTACGTAAGGTCCGGTCAACATCGTTGCTGCATGACTGTTATTTACTGTCGAATTTCTTTCCTGACCTCGGACTCCTCTCGCTGGATATGCGGGGTAGTTTGTACATGCGTCACCCGCCAGGGTAACCTAACTATCCATCCGCTACACTGCATAACACAGTTGACAGCACACGTGCTGGCTAAAACGTCAAACACTTGCTTCGCCCACATCCTGCTGAAGACGTTTAATCAGTTCATTCCCAGCATTCCCTGTGTGCTTTTCAGGCGAATACTCTAGTTTTGAAATTGCGGCTTTTTAATTTCCCCAGAAATTAATCGCTAACTTGGAGTAGATCAGTCCATTTGAGACTCATGGACTCAGACTGCAGAGACTGATTTATTCCAATTTAACGACCAATTTCTGAGGAAATTAAAAGCCTGCAGTAATCTGATTAGTCATTTTGGTGAAATTCCCCCGGAAGTTGCCGTGCACTTGCCAGCCAGTTCACTGTGAGGCGTCTGTCGCAGTTTGGATTGTTTCTATTCGAAGACTGTAGTGTTTGAGTGCCGTCTGGGGTTCTCCTCTTCGTATGCGATTGCACATGAGACAGAAATGCAGATCGACTGCTTCTTCCGCCTCATTGATGTGGAAAAAACGCTCTGAACGATAACACGGAACTTCTGTCACATAGGTAATCTCCTTTCGAGGGTGGGACTGATGGTCGCATTCACCTTAGTTTAGCTCATGTGAATGACTAGAAAGAAAACAATTTTTTAAGGAAAACTCGTGACTGTAGAGGGTGTGATACTCAGAGAACGCTAATTGAACTACTGTGAAATGTCAGTCGAAGCAACTCGGCCAGCAGACATAAACCTTGATCAGTTCGGGTATTCCGGGAGGAGAGTGCCAAACCGTTCCGCAACCTCTTTGGCCAATTTTAAACACTTTTGTAATAAGAAGAGAATTTTACTTAAATATATGCTTTTTTTCGAAAACAGGAGGGGACTTTTAACCATCTACTTGCTTCAAAAACCGCAAATGGTATTTGACTGTTTAACTTCTTTTCTAAAATTGTTTGTTTTAATACCTGCTTCACATTTTGGGCATATACGCCTTCCCCTCCAGGCTCACCTTAGTGCATCTTCGGTAGAGGAGGTTGTTAACCGTTTTTTGCGTGCGCGAAGTTTAATTACATTTGCAGTTGCAGGCAAAAGGTGCGAGCGTTGGTCAGAAAACCTTAACAAGTCTACCGGGAGATAACCGTTGTATGTCCTAAAAGTACAATATCTACAGAGTGCAAAGGGACCTTTATCTGAAACTGTCTCTGATGATGGGTTCGAGTGAGAATCCGAAACGTCAGACAAATGAACTTCTTGTTCCAGCAATCACATTTTTTTCTTCTGATTCTGCAGAATCCTCGAATTAAAACGGAAGAGTGGATATATATGTATATATATACACTTGATCCAGATATGACTAAACTCACGGCTCTAGGTGGGGCCTGATAGCCAAATCGGTTGGAGTATTGGCTGTAAACAGGCCTTGCCTATGCTGAAGTGGTTTCTAATCTCACCGCTGCCCTCAGGTTTTTCGCAAGTGTGCCACATAAATCAGTATAGAGTTTGGCCATGGATGAAACAGCAGTCACTGGCCGAACCAATGAGGAGATGTCCAGACCGATGCTGGAAAGCTGTTCCTCAACTTGCACAATTAATCGAGCCATGGATGTGCATCCCGCCTACCAGGCGCTACGCACCAGGTTCAAATATACCCGGAAGCGACAGATAACAGAAGCTAGCGAGTTGTGACTCGTTCAGCAACTGGTATCCTCACAGTAAGGGAAAATTCTAGCCAGAGGTCACGCGACGAGCGGGAAATATTTGTCTGTCACACAGTCGTGCGTGATTTGCACAAGCGACAACAACTGAACAGTCCATTCGGTTACGAGGCAAGGCCGATTTT